TGGACCTTTGCTCGATACAGCACATAGAGTAATAATAGTTACTTATTATGTGAAGACCCACTGATTCCTTGGCTTAGTTGTCAGTAAAGTTCAATGATATGTTGCCGGTTGACGAGTCCCACTGCAGTGAAGCCAAAGTAAGAAAACGAAACCATTATTGGAACACAAAGATTGATTAGATTAAATAGAGAAAAGTTTTATACAAATGAAGTTTGTTTCTGTATACGTTATGTGTATCTTTTAAGATTTGGACCGACGTATTTACTAATTATTGGGTAATTGTGTGTCTTATTTCCAGAATTTTGGCGGAATATTTTCAACAGAGAGAATTTTTTAAAAAATGCAAAATAATACCAAGGCGAATATATAAGAACTTAATACTAGTACACCTGCTATAATGCACTTCACGCGCATTATTAATTCCAATTTGCACAAACAAAAGTCACCTTTTCTTTTAGTTATCAAACAGCAACTTCAAAATGAGTAAATCTAATTTAGACTTCACTGAATTTAACACACTCCCATATTGTTGTCCGCATTACTTTCCAATTTCCGATATTGCACCGCCAATCCTCTTATTAACAAATCAAATTAACTCTACGAGAAATAAGGCCAAGTATCATCGTGCCTCTTGTATAAATGTATTTAACAACCTGTGTCGGTGAAGTGCGTATGTGTCTGTAAAACGAAATTGTCAATATCAGGTTTAATGGGAAATCATAATTCGATTCGACACGAATTATAACTGGATTACACTTTGACGAGGAAAGCACGTGTTAAGTATCTCCTACCTTGCGGGTATGCCCACTAATTGATCTTATTTTCAGATTGTGACTACTACGGTAATACTATGTATACGTGCTTATTAAGTTTTGACAATTACAAACAAAAATTATAATAAAAAAAGATCTTCGCCAAAAAGTCGAGGAAGAAGTGTCTTACGACAACCTCTACTACTAATGAAAAGGTCGTAAATATTTACATTTTTTGATATACCCATATTTGAAGATTAACGTTGCACTTTCGTTGTTGAGCTTTCATGCAAGTTATATTATGCGCAAGCACATTTGTGCTTCCTGTAAGACTTTTTGTTCACTGGAAATATCTAAATGATATTTATACAACAAGTTTGACAAACGTCAATTTAGTCACGAGTTTGATTTGGCATGAGCTAAGTAAATGCTTAATAAACGAGTGACTGAAGAAGTTTCCCAAACGAGTTGCATACTATACATTTTCTACGACATTTAGTTTTTGGGTACATTTTTGCCAAAACAGCACGGATATATTCACCGAGTGACGTGACGTGACCATCATACCTGACAAAAGTCACCAATCAGTGTGTCAAATTTAATTAGTAACAGTACCGGAAACGCACGAAGTGACTCGCGACAGCATTTAATGAAGCTGGTGTCTTAAAGTAACACTTTGCCTAGTCCTGAACAGTTCATAATTGCGTATTTTAGAGACGGGAGTAGAAAACTCTTTAAGATACACAAAATGCAATTTTTTCATAAATCCTCAAAAGCGAACAGGGCTGTATTTTCCTTAAATTGTTGGTTGGAGGAAAAATGAATAATGCTTGTACTCAAAAAAGCTAAATTATTCACTCAAAAGCGGGGAACTATAATTTGATTTGTAACTAAACGGATTAAAAATGCGCCACAGAACAGAATCACACAAGAATTAATCTGTCAATTAAGAGATTACGTTTCAGTTTTCACATGGCGGAATAATCTAACCGAATCTAATACACCATCATACTTAACATAAAGGCGATAATCTCACTTATCATTTGCCTTACACCATTTAATTAAAACATCCTAGAATGAACCCGTATTTGTTGAACGATTCCACCAAATCCCACTTCTGACATTAGGCAACAGCGCCGGGTTGATGCGCCGTAACCTATTCGAATGGTTGGGCTCGTTAATCATCCGCCACTCGACAAGCGAAATCTTTTAACAAAAACCAAATTTTATGAAACCTTGATGGTTGCTTGCGTAACCGACTAGCTACACTCACTGTAAGACTGTGCGACGGAAAAATGGCAGAGCATGGAAAAATGTCGATATTTTCGAGGATGTTTTTAGGAAAAAAGTTATTTCCCCTCTAGCATCGGTAATTTGTCATTTTTCTTTCTCCTCCGCAGAACCACTTTATTATATCATATATTCCAAATTAAGTTTGGGAGATACGACGCCCGATGATGTATTACACCATGACAAAAACACTGACACGATGACAGCGCGAAAGGGCATGTCTTTGATTTTTCAAATCGATGCACTTAAAAATGGAACCCGTTAGTCGAAATATATTTAGCTTTATTTATTGTCAATAGCAGATAAACAGATCCATAAAATGAATTCTGTCATTAGTCGGAAATTATTACTCAAACAAATTTAACTAGAATATACAAAAATTAGTAAACAGTAAATTTAGAGACGATCTGACTGACCATTGTAACTTATACATCTCAAGGTTGGTTAACTGAGCAGCAGTCAAATGTGATTTTAGAACCCATGAGCCGAACTTCTACAATACAACCTAAAGCTTCTCCATTTCACTTGGTGGAACAAAGAGAGGGCTCTGCTGTCATTAGAACATCAATGAGATAAACGTTACTCTGCCGAAAAGACAAGACAGGATGAGATCACACCAATCATCACTTTTCAATTTGTATCTAAAAAAGGAATGGTAGGTAAGTACCATCGTTTCCACGCAAAGGTGTTTAGACGAATCAAAAACTCCCTAAAGCTAAAGCTAATGATATAAAAAATACATTGCAACAGCGTGAGTACTAAACGGCTAGCTGTCTACGTCCAACATCGGAGATGAAAGGAGCTCAAAGACGCTTGCCACTTTAGAAACGAGTCAGTACAACAGCTCATCAACTGGCAGCGCAAGCCTTGATCAATTTGGCACAGCGCCCACCCCCATGTTATGAAGGTGTTGTTTAAATGGCAGTAAAAATTCCTACACAGAAGTAAGAGTTTGCATAACCGCTTGATTGTGGCTTCAAATATAGTTGTGGACGTCTGAGTAATCTTCGGTAATGTTTTAGTGAGCAGACAATCGCGTGTACCCCAGGAGAGCTGATTCGCATCTGTGACAAACAGCAGCCCTTGGTGCCAATCTATACCTGACTTCCAGTTTTCCAGAACCTGAAGTCTTAGGGCCACTAGACAGCCCAACCTCTGCATTCGTCCTAGAGTAACAAAATTTAAATGTGTTTGTATTTTTTCTGTCAATTGCATTCATTAAGCTGACTTCCGGACCACGTTGAACTAATGAATCTTGAATCTTGAACGTTGAACTTGGAATATCACACGAAATAACACCACCAATAATATTCAACAAAATCGCGTAAAGGGTATTTAAGATGATAATAAAAAACTTTTGTTAAGAATTGTACCTTTAAATGTAGGTATATTGAGGCAATCAGGCACAAGCAGTCTTTCAATATTTTAAAGCTTTATGAAAGAATACTCGACTATATTTTTCGCACAATTAAAAGAAATGACAATATCCTGAAAAATCTGGAAATTTGAATTAATAGGATAAAATATAAAAAAATTAGTATAAATTAAAAAAAATCGTAAATTTTTCATATGTTGAAAAATTTATACATTTATTCTGTAAATACGTAATAAATAGCAAACACATTTCAATTTAAGAAATATTTTCTTTTTTGATAAAAATTTTCGTACAAAAAGACTCATGATAAATTGTTATGTAAATAACAATGAGGCTACTACATAAACGAAAATATTGCTTATGGAAAAATTGAAACGTATTTTAAACTCGAGCTTATTGTAATAAGCGAACGCTCAAGATATTCACGATCTATAAAAAGGCCCACAGATGTAATCAAAACGCTTTCAGCAAATAATCACCGTGTGTAAACTCGGGAGATTCATAGCGCGAGGGCCCCAGCCAGAACATCCCATTATCTAATAGCCCAACCGGCCCGATTACGGAATGTTTTATCTCCGGTTCAAATGTATAATCAATCTCAAAGTAGTCCAATAATGCACTGTCAAAATAGTTTGTACGGGGATTTACAAGAACGTAAACAAACTTTTAAACTGTGTATTTGTGCTCCCTTTATCGCTTTTAAAACGCACGAACGGGTCCACGTCAAATATATAAAAGTTTGTTCCACTTTCCACAGTTTATTGGAGTACGTAAATTGGACGACTTTAAAAGCTACCGGACTAGGTTAGGATATTTTCGGAGTTGTTTTTATTCGTTTGCGGAAAAGAAGGTCGGAAGAAGTCGGAAAATTTACCCATTTTTAGAAACTCGGATTTTATAGTTATATTTGGGGATGCATTCGTGGGGATACTAACATAGGCAGACAAAATCAATAACGTGGGTGTGGAAAATTGTTACGAGTTATAAAAATAATTTAATTGAAATATATTTTGAAACTTAATCATTTAGGGCAAAATTAGTTTTTTTTTGCAGTCCCGCATTAATGACAGCTATGTTCTGTAGGATAACCGTAGTTACAAAAAATACTACGTAATTGGTTCGAGGCTGCTAATAATTTTGTTCAAAAACGATTTGAAGAGAAATCATATTGGTCACCACGAAAAGTGACCACTGGAGAATGTTATTCCATACCATTTTATACAGCAAAAAGGATCCCGCTCTAACCTGCAAAACATGAGACTAAATTAATCGGTTACTGGTGTAACATAGCTATCAACATTAAACAAAAACGACTAGAAGATTGAAAAGATACTTATGAAAAATCTGAAACTATTTCAGTTAAGCTCTGAAGAAGTCAACAGGATGATGGGCGAAACATCAGCAAGATCGATTCATCAAAAACCGACGCAGGATAAATCCAGAAGATGTGTAAATAGCACCGAAGGTATCAGTCCTTTAAAATTTGGCAGCTTATTTTTGAACACCCTACATGTGAAAACTACGATAAAATTCTGTTAGAAATCGTTTTGTCGGTAGCACTACAATTATCTTTTCCCTACCCTCAGATCATACTTCACAGGATCATTTCTGTAGTATATCTTCGCATACTCTCCCTACCCTTTTGACTTTAGCTGAACCAGCTAAAAGTTTTACCCATGATACATGGTCCAGTTCTACTTAAAAACTAACGCCCAATTCGAAACTTAAATAGACAAATCAAGCGCGGCCGTTTTTCAAGTTTCCATAAAATCTTTTGCTTCATTTTCTCGTTTTTGCGATTTTCGTTCGCCTCGCTCCGATTTTCATCCGGATTCTACGACATCGAATATCCACAATATCAGCGTAAAATCTAAAAATCTGATTTAAAATTAATAAATTCCTCCTTAAATGAAAAATGGAAGCGTCGCAATAAATTGGATTTAAGTAGTCATAAGTCCCGAGATCGAATGAAATTTATATATTGGAATATCGGGGAATTTCATTTTTAATAAAATTTATTCAATCCCGGATAAGTACCTGTAAGTGGCGTTTCGAACAAGCTATCGTCTATGAGCATGTTGGTCAAGTCAAGATCATTTAGGTACAGTTGCAGTAATGTAAAACAAACCCCGCATATGTATAGGATTAAGCATTGAGGCATATTTACTATTCTATGACATGACCATATACGGTGTGTCCCACTTAAGAGAGAAGAGAGAAGTACTATTAGAGATTTAAAAAAAAAAATTGAAAACGAATTCTTATTCAGGAGTACTTGAAACCTAACTATACCAATTTTTATAATGTTTCAATATAGGGTGTTTGAAATATTGTTTACGCCCTCCTAAGGCTGTGCATCGTTGTAAAATCTTTGATTACGGTTTGATTTTGATAATTTTTTTTTGTTGGATAGATCTCTCAAAAACACACAAGCGAACTTCATGGAACATAGTATAGCTCGGTTTTATGTGGTCCTGAATAAAAATTCGATGACACTTTATTCTTAAGGAAGTTGAAGCAATAAACCAAAAAAGGTGAATTTTTTAGAGACCTATCCAACAATTTTTTTTTTATCAAAATCGATCCATAAACAAAGATTTCAGTTCTTAAGTGGGACATAAAATCAATTCAGAATTCAATTTTGCAAATAAAACTAAAAAATTAATTTGATTGATTGTGAAAATTTATTTTCAAAACCACAAAAAAAACATCTTTCGATGTCACAGTATTTTTACAACAACAATGCTATTATTTCGACATTTACAACTTTTAGAAAAATTGAAAATGACAATTTCTTTATTGGTTGTTTTTTCATTCTGATTTTAAATGTTACTTTTTGGAAATCCCATATTAATTTATTATTAATATTATCACTAAAGTAGGTCCCCTTGCATAAAAAATCAACCCCAAATATATAACAAAGGCTTTCAGTCGGAGAAATCGATTTAGACCTGCAAACATCATTCAAAATATGTCAGAAATGTTGCAAAGAATTAAAAAACTTCCTTAATATACAGGCTGTTTTGTTCAAACAAAAAATGTATCGCTTATTAATAATATTTTAAAGATATAAGTGTAACTTCACAACTTATGTGGCTTGTTTTTTTTTCACTTTTTTTTTAATTACCCCCAAAGACAGGATAGCCGGAGAAATATAGATTTTATTTTTCATTTTAAAAACAAAAAGATATAGAACCAAAAAAAATTATCGACCTATCACTAAAGAACACGCTCTATGCATATTTTTCATTTTTTTACTTCACTAATATCATTTTTCCTAACTTAAGAAACTTAGGCAATCAGATGGAAAAAAATAAATTTTGATGAGAGGCTCATTTACAATTTCTTTGTCTCTCGTACATTTTTTTTCATGAAAGTTACCGTTACCGTTTCTTCAAGTTGTTCTAAATTTAGTTAGGAAGGATAGCTGCGACGCCACTGAATGCGACTTACTGTGAACAGACACTGGCTGACAGCGTCTCATAAACTGTTTAGTAATCAGTTTTAATTTTATATAAAGATTAACTTATTAACTTATTAAAACAAATGGTGTAGTTTTCGTTTGGGAACAACGTAATTGCATAGAGTAACACGCAGAAAATGTATTTTGTAAATAGTAAGGTTAGATAACATTTTATTGTTCTCTTAACGTTCGTAAGATAAAAGATATTTATTTTTCAGTCATATTTGACTTGTGTCAACGTTTTGGTTTGTTTTGAAACACCCTATATACTTGTTGTAAAACTCATTCATAAGTTATAATTTGACCTGAGCTGATTCAAGAACCAAAGTTTTATTCGGCATAAATGATTATTATAGAATTCCTTTCTAGTGTATCACTAACACCTACTAGTGGCTTATAAGCTTCTTAAGCCCGGCTTTTTTTCACAGACCGATGACGTTCCCGGCGCAACACCCCGTATAGCTAATAAAACTAGGACATCGACCTAATTTGGTAACATCTACTACAGACAAGCAGAATTAAACAGACTGTCAAGTTTAAGTTTAGACTACTTCGGAAGTGCGGCGACGTCGTCGTCCAATTCAAGCGAGAGGGAAAACAGCGCGGCACGCTCCGAATTTCTTTGATGTTTTGTAGTACAAAACATTTCTTTTACCTTACGCCACGACATCAGATGTTATTGCTTATACTTCTGTTTCGTTTTACGTCTTAATTTAAATGCCAGGCTACGATCGTGTCTCAAAGTAACGTCTTTCAATGTACGGGCAATAACTCTTATTTGGTTATTATGCAAATCTATTAAATGCTTTTAAAGTACTGTCAAAATTACTGTATTTACTGCTATGGGAAAACATTATTTATTATATATTTTTTTCATTTTCACTTATCTGAAATTCTGGATTCGAAAATACTGTATTCCGAGAAATAATAATAGTAATGCAATGCAACTTGTTCACCTATACGGCTGCCATAACCAAGCAAAATGACTGTACTTCAACAAGTTCTAAAATATTGTACTGATTTTTGATTAATAGGATACAAAACAAATTAAGGAGTAAACGCAAGTAGATATATTCAAAATACGATATGAGCACCGCATCTTTTTTATTTGGCGAATTTGGAATCAAAAATGAAGGCAGCCTCTATGTTGGGTTCAACTGCAAAATTATTATTGCAAACACGATGACTCCTCACAAAAGATATTGTAAAGCAAAAGCTGGACCAAGTCCGGCTCGTTGGCTTCAAGTGAAGTTGCTCAGTTTGTTAAAAGGATCTGCTCAATAATGCGTTCCGGAAGTTTCCTCCCAGACTGGATAAACTCATGTACATTCAGTTGGACATTGCAAGAATCATATATCCGGTTAATTTTTACCCCATCTCTCATTTCAGATTAAGTTAGAACGGTTACGGTTACAGCTGCTAAAATTTCATTTAGAAGTTGGCGAAAAAAATCATCCGGATAATATTAAACTTGGCTTGGAAATACTTCGTAAGACTTTAGATATTACAATATATTAGTGGCTGTTTTGGTTAAATTGCTTTATGAAAAAGTACCAAGTTGTGTTGAAAACTTACATAATCATTTCTAATTACATTTAGATTTTATTAGATATATCACTTTATTAAAACCACGAAACGTTATCGAAAATCTAGCGCATCTCGTGTGCTCAAACTATCCGATACGAGTGTCAAATTAGCCATCGCGTCATGAACCGAAATCCAAACCGATAGACACAACACAGCAGCAAAGTGAAGTAGCTGTATCCTTGAGAGAACATTAATTGCCATTCTGTTGTTTGCACAGCAAAGTGGCGTTGTTGTTGTCTTTGCCGATACTCTGTTCCTTCTTACCTTTCAAGTGCTCGAATGCATTTCGCCTTGCCGCGCAACACCCTTCGAAAATCGATGGCTAAATAGAGATTTGGCGAAGAAGAACGATGGAAGATGTAGGGAACGGGAGATACACCTCAAATTCGAGTGTTTGTTCAATAAATGTCAGGTGGTTGCCGTTTGAGCCTTTTACCTACAGGGAGTGCCTTGTCAACAAAAAGACTGTACGCGCTAATAACTAGTAGAGTTATGCATGGCATTACAAGAACCGTAAAGATTATAAACTGGGGGGTATCACACTGGCAATAACAAAATGATATCAAGTGATCACTATTAAAGTTCTCACCAGCAAAATTTGGAAACTTTGAAAACTGAGCTATCTATTCTCAATTTATCGCAAACGCAACTAAACAAAATTCCATTACTATTTCTCATGATTCTTTTATATATTTGATAATTTCAATCAAAAGTACAATTCGATGCAAACTTTTCATGCAATTAAATAAATTAAGCAAATTTATTTTCGACATAAATACTATGACTATGTGAAAATGATTTTCGAAGCAAAAGCTGTTTAGTATTCCATGGCAGTCGAAAATATTGCCAACTAATATATTAAATAGTAGAATAGACACGAAAAAGGCACAAAAAATGTTTTTCTGTTCTGTAAGACGTTAGCTTCGTTACACACAGCCGTTTCGGAGTTTTCTAATTCTATAATAGTGGGTTTTGGAGAGATAGGGTAGGATGTATTCCGGGTGTATTTCAAAAATGTACTAAAGAATAATGGTCTTATAAAATAATATATTATGCAGACAAACTTGATAAACGCCATTTTCGACATGAGCTTTGAAAAGAATGAAGCGATTGCTTAATAAACGTGTTACGTACTAGTTTTTCAACGATAGAGTCTGTCTCAATAGAGAAGAGGCCAGTGGCGTCATTGTTCGACGCGCGGAATAAGCATCCTATCTCCCTCTCGGGTTATTGCGTTCTTTATCGAAAATAACAGTATATAAAAATGAACGAAATATAAGCAACCACAAAACACAGCCACGAAACGGAAACATCCGGAACGATTTGATCCACGCCAATGGCGGCCGCATTTTCGAACGACAGTTGGTTGCCGTTTCAAATTCGTCTTCTGCGCATCTGACGTCACTGGGCTCTTCCCGATTGAGACGATTAGTTTTTGGATACGTTTTTGCAAAACAGCACAAATACCTCCACGGTGGCAAGTGACTAAAGTTAAACTCGAAGTCGCTCGCGACGGTTGGTAATGACCCTGACGTCGTAATTGGGTAAATTGGGTCGTTATTTTAGGGCAAGGAGTAGAAAAAGCATAATATGCAACACGCTGACAAACTTCTTCAGCTATTCGTTTATTAAGTATTC